GACTCATTCTTGCCCAGTGCTCAGCTGTGCGTTTATAGTTGCTCGTGGGGCTGACATTTCAGCCCAAAGAGGCAGGTGGCCCTCTGCGCCTTTCTGGGCTTTGCTGGGCAGATTTCCTCAGATCCGTTCTCCCTTCCCCCGGCCGGTTCCTGGTAGGTCGAGAAATGACCACACACTTCACTCCTTCTCCCTCAAGAGGTGACATCCATTTCCGGACTCTGAACCAGGGCTTGGGTTGCTTTGACCCATGGGAGTGCCGGTGCATCCGCTCAGAGCCCAGGACTTACCAGGACTGGCACATCCGAGCTGTTGCTGCCCTCTCCGCACGCCTGCGCTAGCCTGCTGCATGACAAACACCGCCCGGGGAGGGGCCCGGGCATCCCACCGAGCCACCAGACACCAGCACCCAGGCTGGCATGGTGAGCCCAGGACAGAGCTGAAATTGATGACTTAACAAAATTGAAAGCTTTTGAAAATGTATAAAAATTATTTCCCTTTTGCTTTCTTCCTTACATTAATAACTGTGCCTACGCTGACAGCTCCATGTCTGGAACAGTGCTGGGCGCACAGTAGGTGATGCCTAAATGAAAACAATGGAATACATTGAGTTCTTACTGAAAAGTTAAAGTGCGCGGGCAGGCCAATAGCCATCTCAGACGGTGATGAAAGAAACTGAATTTATTTAAGGAAGTGGGGTGGGAGATGGGGACATCCAAAGGGAAGGGCTACACAGAGAAAAAAGGGGCCTTGGAGACAGCTTCAGGGGTGAGCTGGAGGAGCTGCCACTGCCCATCGCTCCCCTGGCTGCAAGTCTCCTGGGTCCATTCTAGGTTGGGGACACGCCTGCGGGGTAATGGGGATGGCAATGGCGGGCGTGCTCCTTGGAGGGAGAGCCTCTCTCTCTCCTGCAGGTGGGAATCTCAGGCCAGGGTCTCATAGAATCTCATCAGCTTCCCGCGTGCTCTGTCGGGTCCTGGTCTCCAGATGGGCTGGTGCCCGGCAGAGGGTGATCAGTCACTGCAGCTGGTCCGGAGGCAGCCAAGGCGTCACTTGTCTGGTTTGGCTGCTTTTCTGGGCCTGGAGCTGACGCACAACTGGGGCTCGATGTTCTCTCGGGAGGAGAGGTCAGGGGCGCAAACCGCCTGGCCAGCGATACCTGGGGAGGAGAGGCCACCCTGGGGCGAGGTTCTTGTTTTCCCAGATTCGCCCCTTGCTGGGCACCTGGGGCTTTCTGCCCTGGGGAGTCTCTGTATCTGGCCGTCATCCTTGCTTTGTGGGTCTTAGTCTGTACCTGGCACTGATCTACATGCTTTCATGTGGATTATATTATTTTGTGATAAACACAATAATGTTTCCAACCCCACTCCACTCCCCATACTCCTTCAACAGAATGTCTACATCCTCATCCCCAGAACCTGTGGGATGTTGCTTTACCTGCCAAGGAGCTTTGAAGATGTGATTGAGTTCAGGATCTAAAATGGAGAAATTATCCTGGACTATCTGGGTGAGTGCCAAGTAATTTCAAGGGCCTTAAAATAGTGAGGCCAGAGGATCAAAGTCAGAGAAAGAAGGCCCTGGCTGGCGTGCTCAGTGGTTAGAGTGTTGGCCTGTGCACCAAAGGGTTGCAGGTTCCATTACCAGTCAAGGGCACATTCCTGGGTTGCAGGTTCAATCCCAGGTTCTGATCCAGGTGCATGTGGGAGGCAACCAATCAATGTGCCTCTCGCACATCAATGTCTCTCTCCCTCCCCCCCTCCCTCCCTCCCTCCCTCCTTCT